GGTCGATAAAAATATATATATATATATATCTGTGTGTGTAATGTATATATATATATATATATATATATAGCGATATATATTTATATGTATGTATATATGTGCGTGTGTATGTACGTATTTATACATGTACGTGTATGTATCTGTACAAGGTCGATGTATCTTCCTTTATAACGAGGTCTCTCTCTGTATATATGTGTGTGTCTAACTTGAATAAGTATCTTACTATTTGTTTATGTCTGTCTCTCTCTATATATATAATGCGTGTTCTATATATTCATTTGTCAGTATCTATATGTGTGTGTATAGATGTCTCCCTTCTCTCTCTTTCTCTCTCTTTCTCTCTCTCTCTCTCTATATATATATATATATATGTGTGTGTGTGTGCGTGTGCGTGTGTGTGTGTATGTATGTATACACACATACATACATATATGAGAGAAAATGAATAGACGCAGATAACGGACCTACGAAAATTGGTAGGTTGTAGAGGGTCTATATATATATATATATATATATATATATATATATATATATATATATATATATAAAAAATATAGTTATAAGGTGTGCTATATTTATGGGATAAACTACTCAATGTCAGAGATAGAGCGGATGTAAATATAAATACAAAAGTGAACATTGAAATGAACTCTCAGAGGCGACAGGCTGTTTCATGCTAGGCACAGTCGTCAGGCCGCGAATGTTGGGTTTTTCCTAGACTATTTATATATATGGGTCAATGGTGCATTGTGGGAAATCTATTTTTGGCGGTTAGTGGAAATGATATATATATATATATATATATATATTAATGTGTACGTGTGTCTCTGCATGCATATTTGTGCAATGTGTGTATATATATATTTATATGTGTGTGTGAGTGCGTGTATTTATCTATATATGCATGTGTATGTATCTATATAAGGGTACATGTATCTCTCTATCTTTAGCTCCAGTATGTGTGTGTGTGTGTATTAATAATATGTATAACTTTTTCTTTATTTATTTATACGTATCAATATATATGTCCTATATATTCATGTATCGGTATCTATATATTTGTGTATCTCTCTCTATATATATTTCTATCTATCTATCTATCTATCTATCTATCTATCTATCTACCTATCTATCTATCGCCCTTTCTCTCTCTCTCTCTCTATCTATCTAACTATATATATATATATATATATATATATATATATATATATATATATATATGAGATGGAGAGAGAAAAAGAGTGTGGTGAGGCGAAGTACGACCAGACTGAGATAATAATCTAATTGAAGTAGATAAGTTATTTTGGATTTCATTTGTTACTAAGAACTCATGAAATTGGCAGCTGTAAGTTATAAGTAAGCATTTATAAAATAATGAAATAAACATTCTGTAAATGAGGCAATCATTCTTATCTGTGTCCTGACGGGTGAGAAATTACGAAACTCTGAGTCGACCTCCAATAAGTGTTGTAACTTAAATTACTTCTAATTCTCTCTAATCTCTCTCTCTCTCTCTCTATCTATCTATCTATATATATATATATATATATATATATATATATATATATATATATATATATCACCATGAATTCACCCTGTACAAGACTCGGAGTCACTCGAGGTAGAGGTTTACAGAGTAAGTGCACAGTTTATGCTCATAGGTGGGGATGATAACGGTTAACCCTAGACTTGGACAGGTTAGGACTGTAGGGCTCGAGAAAAAAATCCTCTTGGGAGTCGACCCCATAGACCAGTAGTTCTTGAGAAGAAGCTGCTTAAGTGGAACTTACTTCTCACCGACAGAATACTGGTGGTTCGCTACAATTTGCTTAGCATGGCGGCTCCTCATTGTGAAGGTTAGAACTGGCAGAACTAAGGAATGTAGTTCGTCTGAGCACTTTCCACGGAAGTAGCGATATAGCAGTGGGAGGCTTGCTACATCTCGTCCGTGAGAGAGGGGTTGGAAAGTGGAAAATAATCACCCACAAGGAGGCGGAGATGCTTTTTATCTCTATCGAGAATGGAAGATGAGGACTGGGCAGCTCCTGCGCAATTTTAACAAAAGAACCCCATCTTAGGCCTGACCTGGCTCTTGTAAAGATAGCACGAAGAATCGGGTACTTGGTAGAGCGGTACAGGGAACCGGAAATTTTTATTACATCTTTAGCGATGGATCGTATGTATGAGCTCCACTTGCGGTCAGAGTTGAATTTCAGGTTCAATAGCCGCTCAAGGCACGAGGCCTCCCTGAAGGAACATCCATTCATCGTGACTGGTGTTAGTTCAGAGTCCAATAGGCGATGATGGAATGTAACTAGCTTGGTTTTTGAGGCACTGAATGTAATCAGCCAGTTTTCCCCAACCGAGAGGTTAGCTAGATTGCAAGAGAGATCAATTGCCAGTCTCTGGTCATCACGAGTTTTGGAGGTGAAACCCATATATCGTTTCATCAAAAGCATAGATATTCACAAACGGATTATATTTTTAGGCATATCATTTGTGTAAAGTAAAAAGAGGCTTGGTCCGATGTTGGCCCTGGAGGATTGGCCGTTAACAACTACCTTCAGGGACCTACCCGTTAGGAACGATTTTATTATTGAGCGGATGTAAATATAAATACAAAAGTGAACATTGAAGTGAACTCTCAGAGGCTACAGGCTGTTTCATGCTAGGCACAGTCGTCAGGCCGCGAATGTTGGGTTTTTCCTAGACTATATATATGGGTCAATGGTGCATTGTGATTCCGTAACTGGAGAGATTGAGTAGTAATCCATTGCGTCATACTTTCTCAAAGGATTTCGATATGTAATGTTATGGCCCTTGAGATGTATTTATTGCTTCGTGCCTCACTGATTCTGTGTGTAATGGTAGTGAGGGCATCAGCAGTGGATCGAACCGATAGAAGCCCGTACTGCTTGTCGCGCAAGAAGCTGTTCTTTTTAGGTGCTCATCAAACTTCTTGTTTGTAGCTTGATATGTCCCGGTAAGGGATATATTTGAACGAAGTAGCTAAGTGGTTTTGGCTACTATAATCAAGTAGAATACGGTAGCAGTAATCGACTAGTACGCGTCGTAGTCGCAGATAAGAAGTGTAGATCAATGGCGTAGTCCAATGGGCGTCGACTTAGCTCACAGACTAAGGCTCTCTGACTATCCTACACATCCGTCGGTATTTATGACGGACACCAGCCAATCATATTCCAGTGAGGGGGGAACACAGGTGTATGCATATTCCATTATATCATAGCCTCACAAATCTTGCTAAGGAGAGTGATGGGTCTACAGTGAGAGGGGGATAAGCGCTCGCCTGCGTTCTTGAAAATCGGGCATACGCTTGAGACTTTCCACAAGTTTGGGGAAGGTTTCTCCTTCAAACAGTGGTTAAATAACTTCGGAAGGTCGGGGATAGTTCCGGGTTAATATTCGTTAGGACAATTACTGGGATTTTGTCTGGGCCAGTGGCTTTCTTAAGATATATATATATATATATATATATATATATATATATATATATATATATATATATATATATATATATATATATATATATAAAAACACTTTAAACGTTATGTCATATTTGGAATAGAGGCTCCGTTTATTTATTAACCGTATCTTAATTTACTTTTTGTCTACCGGCCTGGATATTCGAGAAATTTTACTAAAGTAATGCACCTTCCAGCAGGAGAGGAACTTGCATCCTCATTTGCAGGAGAAACATCATTTAATTCGACCTGCTTTAGACGTCCTCGTCCACGAAGAAACCAAAGCCGAATAGTACTTCATAAGCGCAAACCTTTGCCAAACTCTCGAAAGTTCATATCTGCTCAGTTACTTATCTGAACGCAAACAAAGCAATTTCTAAAGAAGTAATGGATGTTTTATTTATTAATCCTACCGATTTTATTACTTTAAATGTGATTTTAATCGATGCACATATTTCAATAGACGTTCCGTCTATTTATTAAACCGTATTTTTATTTAATTTCGTCTACCAGCTTGAATATTCGAGAAATCGTCGAGAAAACTAGGCGATCTCCGAGAGCATTCGAACATGCGTTCCCCTAGATATAAATATCCTGTTTAAGAATTAAGGTATTTAATTTTAATTCGATATTTTTATTACTTTAAAGATTATTTTATTGGATACCCGTGTTTGAAACAGACGACCAGTTGTTTATTTTGTTTATAATTATAATTAAAAAGATCATCATTAAAAAAAATCAGATGCTTATTTCTGCTGGTACCTTAGGTGGAGCAATGGATAGCGGCTCGGATTGAGGAATCGGAGAGCCGAGTTCGAATTCCAGTCGAATCCATTACATTTACTTGGGTAAGGTATGAATCCTCTTCTTCTCCCCACCCCCATATAGGGTAAATAGCAGGGCAGACCGCAGAAAGAAATGGCAACTTACTGCGGGAAAAAAATCTGCCTCGTCAGTCATGTATCGAAAGATACATGATCGCCTGGCACATAACTGACTGAAGTTAAGTTAGTGTTTCAGTTCATGAAAGAACAAAAAAACTTGAAACGAGGCATATGTAAACACGTGACCTGTTTCAGAATTATGTGGGCACGCGTTTCGTAAGAAATATTTTTTTTTAAGCAATTCCCTCTAGAACACACATGCGCGCGCGCACAGTGATGAAAAAGTAAAAAACTTAATGGCGCCTGATCGTTAAATTCTGAAAAGTCCAGTCATAAAAGAAATGTATGAAAAACAAGTGATTTTCATTCGAATAAGACATTGATACAATATGTTTGACTCCCTGACAAAAGAGCTGTTCTTTCTCATATAATTTCGATTCTGTTTGTTTGTCTGAACAATAAATTTTCGTTCGGTGCTTGGTTTGGTCTGTCAGAGAATAATTCGGCCGCCGTGAAACTACAAAATGAGACGAGATGATTCATAAAAAAAATTTGAAGAATTTGATCATGGAAAAATAATTCCTTTGACACTTGGTTTCTACTAAATCTTTTAAAATAAATATACTACTCACAAATGGTAGCAGAAAAAAGTTCTCACAGCAGCCGGTTTCGGGGACTGTTCAAATGCCCTGTAACTTTGGGTACTACAAGATGTATGTCACTTAAATTAAACATCTCTCTCAATTTAATAGCATCTAAGTTGCTTACTCTCTGACATTTTTGCTACAACTCTTGACTACTCTCTATCATTTTTTATTATAAAATCATCCTCTCTGTCATTTTTACCTGATCACTCTTGCTCACCCTGTAATCTTTCTACAAAATCTCTCTTGCTTACTCTCTATATTTTTTTTATTACAACTCTCTTGGTTACTCTCTATATTTTTAATACAACTCTCTTGCTTACTCTCTATATTTTTATTACAACTCTCTTTCTTATTCTCTATATTTTTATTACAACTCTCTTGCTTACTCTCTATATTTTTATTACAACTCTCTTGCTTACTCTCTATATTTTTATTACAACTCTCTTTCTTATTCTCTATATTTTTATTACAACTCTCTTGCTTACTCTCTATATTTTTATTACAACTCTCTTGCTTACAACTCTCTATATTTTTTATTACAACTCTCTTTTTTTCTCTATATTTTTATTACAACTCTCTTTCTTATTCTCTATATTTTTATTACAACTCTCTTTCTTATTCTCTATATTTTTATTACAACTCTCTTGCTTACTCTCTATATTTTTATTACAACTCTCTTGCTTACTCTCTATTTTTATTACAACTCTCTTGCTTACTCTCTATATTTTTATTACAACTCTCTTTCTTATTCTCTATATTTTTATTACAACTCTCTTGCTTACTCTCTATATTTTTATTACAACTCTCTTGCTTACTCTCTATATTTTTTTATTATAAAAATTTTTGGTTACTCTCTATATTTTTTATTACAACTCTCTTGCTTACTCTCTATATTTTTATTACAACTCTCTTGCTTATTCTCTATATTTTATTACAACTCTCTTGCTTATTCTCTATATTTTTTATTACAACTCTCTTTCTTTTTCTCTATTTTTTTATTACAACTCTCTTGATTTTACTCTCTATATTTTTTATTACAACTCTCTTTCTTATTCTCTATATTTTTATTACAACTCTCTTTCTTATTCTCTATATTTTTATTACAACTCTCTTGCTTACTCTCTATATTTTTATTACAACTCTCTTGCTTACTCTCTATATTTTTATTACAACTCTCTTGCTTACTCTCTATATTTTTATTACAACTCTCTTTCTTATTCTCTATATTTTTATTACAACTCTCTTGCTTACTCTCTATATTTTTATTACAACTCTCTTGCTTACTCTCTATTTTTTTATTATAACTCTTTGATTTACTCTCTATATTTTTATTACAACTCTCTTTCTTATTCTCTATATTTTTATTACAACTCTCTTGCTTACTCTCTATATTTTTATTACAACTCTCTTGCTTACTCTCTATATTTTTTTATTATAACTCTTTTGGTTACTCTCTATATTTTTATTACAACTCTCTTGCTTACTCTCTATATTTTTATTACAACTCTCTTGCTTACTCTCTATATTTTTATTACAACTCTCTTGCTTACTCTCTATATTTTTTTATTACAACTCTCTTGGTTACTCTCTATATTTTTATTACAACTCTCTTGCTTACTCTCTATATTTTTATTACAACTCTCTTTCTTATTCTCTATATTTTTATTACAGCTTTCTTGGTTACTCTCTATATTTTTATTACAGCTCTCTTGGTTACTCTCTATCTTTTTACCTCGTCCCTCTTACTTATTCTCTTTAGTTTTTATTATAACTCTCCTTCTTACTCTCTGCTATTTTTACATAATCTCTCTTGCTTAATCTCTATCATTTTTATTCCTACGCTCTTACACTCTGTCATTTTTATTACAACGCTTACATTCTATCATTTTTACCTGATTACTTTTGCTCACTCTCTACCATTTCTACTTTCTTCTTGGTTTTTCGTTGACTCAATTCTACATTTAATTTCCAAGCTAACCTCGACACCCGTTTTATCAGACTTCGCTTAATTTAACTACCGTTTCCCCGCATGCAACAAGTGCGCAGTCCTCCAGACCAAGAGAAGGAGGCAAGCTGGGGAAGTAGTTTAGTTGATTGCGCAAATTTAACTCGTCAGTTTCCTGTTTTCAACAGAAAGATGAAACAGACACCGCGAGAAGCGCTGATGCCAAAATAGAATAATTTTTATTCTCGTTCCAAGTGACCATCAAAGAGTTTGTAAGCTGCTGGTGATAGAGAAGACTCTTAGAATGTTCGAGACGCAGGGTTTCGGGCGAGTGGTGAAAACTGAGGCTGGCTCATGTTTATTCTTTAGGTGTTTGGCTGGGTTTTATTTACATAACGTTTCCCTATCTTGGTTTATTGTACTCATTTCCTGAAAGGGTCTCAATTGGTCTCTGCTACTCTAGATAATCTTTCGCATTCTTATTTACGTTTCTTTCTTGCTTTCTTAACAAATCCTGACACAGTCTGTTCACATCTTCCTTTATTTATTCACCTAGTTCTCAACCAATTATCTAACTAGCATACTACCTACGTAACAATTTATCTGAGTCTGTTCTTATCTATCTATCTATCTATCTATCTATCTATCTATCTATCTATCTATCTATCTAAGCCTGTACATATCTATTCATATACCTTTTCACAGGCTGTATATAGTTCATATCTATTTATCCATATCAACCTGTTTATATCTATCTCAGTCTGCTCATTATCTATCTATCTATCTATCTATCTATCTATCTATCTATCTATCTATCTATCTATCTCAGTTTGTTCATATCTATCTATCTATCTCAGTTTGTTCATATCTATATATATATATATCTATCTAAGTTTGTTCATATCTATCTAGTATCCTCATCTTTTTTGTTTAGATTTCGCAGATCTATAAAATGAAAGTCCTTAAAAATGTTTTCAATTTCTGAATACGCAGTTTGTTTCTGTTCTGTACTTATAAAAAATATTTTAGAATGATTCAATCATATCCCATCTTTGTTGAAATATGATCCAAAATCTATTTCTGCATATATTTGTTTTACTTATTTCAATCTGTACCCCAAGAGCCCTGAATCATCTTTGAGGAGACCAACGTCTAAATCATTAAGTTCACCCCGACAGAATGCTTGGAGCTCCGCTGAATACATATACAGTAATCTCTCGATTAGTGCAGTTAATGCGTACCTTAAAAGATACGCATTAATCGAAAACGCATTAATCGAATCTAATAACTTATAGGCAATTTTAGTCTCATTCACAATTAATTTCTAATTTGGGTACTTTTCTTTATTAAAATATGGGTACATATAAGAAGATACAATAAAAATGCTATGAATCAATGTTTATTAATCTGATTTTTTATGAAAAAATTATTTACAGTGGTTTGCCTCATGGTATTCTTCTGTACTTCATATAAATGACGGTACTGAGAAATTGCCCCTTCAGTTTTTCTGCAAATTTGTCGGCTTCTGACTTCATCAGGGTCTCCTTCTAAACATCTTCCTTTACATTCTTCAGTGTTCTTGAAATTTTCTTCTAACTACTTCTTTGGCATCTTCTTTGCATATATATATATATATATATATATATATATATATATATATATATATATATATATATATATATATATATATATGATTTATTTTAGACTAAGTTCGTTCATATCTATCTCACTCAGTTGATATATATATATATATATATATATATATATATATATATATCATAATTAAGTAATTCATCGCGTCTAGAAGAAACCTCAACGGAATGCAGAAAGCACTGGATGTCCGTTTCTGTCCTATATTTGGGACTCATCAGCAGTGTGCATCCACTACCCAGAATTGAAACCTGGACAGTTACAATATGAGGCAAATGGGATACTATATATATATATATATATATATATATATATATATATATATATATATATATATATATATATATATACTTAAATTCCTGTGGACAAGACAGATTGGTATCAAATGACAATTGGAAAAAAAATCTTACATTTTGCCGACGCGTTTCGTCTTCCGACTTTTCAAGGCAAAAATGAAAAAGTCGGAAGACGAAACGCGTCGGCAAATGTAAGATTTTTTTCTAATTGTCATTTGATACCATATATATATATATATATATATATATATATATATATATATATATATATATATATATATTAACAAAAGATAAGCAGTTCTTTAAATGAATGCAGACGGGAAAGAATAAGTGCTCCACGCTATATAAAACGGTATGAATTAAATTATGAATTAAATTAAAATTTTTGGCGCATACTGTCCAGCCACTACTGTAGTTTTATGCATTTACGCAATCGTCAGGCGGTCGGCGTAAAGGATGAATCTCACAGTAATGGAAGGACACTGTGCGCTAGAAATTTATTTCATAATACATACATACATATATATATATATATATATATATATATATATATATATATATATATATAGGGAGCGACTGATAAATTGTCGTCTCAGTTACGCAAAAAATGAAAACAGTGACATCTCATTTTAACATAGATATTTACCAAAATTAATCAAAATATCTTGATATACTAAAGAGTAAATTTATTCAATAAAATCGCCATTGGCTCCAACCTCCAGACGACTTTGGAATCTCCTGCATTTCTTCTGGACGGTTTCCTCCTTATTTAAGTTGTTAAATAGCTTGAGCCACTCCTAAGAGAGTATGCTACCAAATTACACTGGTGATATATATATATATATATATATATATATATATATATATGTGTGTGTGTGTGTGTTTGTGTGTGTGTATGTGTGTATAATAGGGCAAGGAACAAATAGGAAACCTTATAAACTTAACCTGTTCCACTTTTATTTGAACTTCATCAGAAATTTTGAAGGAAATTTCTCAAAAATTCTGATTAAGCTTAAATAAAGTTGAAGCATTAAATTTATAATCATTTTGACGGATTACAATCCATATTTGCTCCTAATTCATATATATATTATAATATAAATACTAAAGTTCACAGCATTAATTCAAGAGAGGGCTCAATACCAAGTGTAGAGAAATAATTATTTATTATAATTTTTACATACGGACAAAACAACTTACTCACTACAAAGATGCATTTTTGTTTCGATGCGCATGCATCTCAAATGGTGAGAACCAAAAATGAACCATTTTTTTTTTCATAAACACTTTTGGTTCTCACCAGTAGAGATGCATGCGCATCGAAACAAGGATACATCTTTGTAGTGAGTAAGTTGTTTTGTCGGTATGTAAAAATTATAATAAATAATTATTGGTCTACTTTTGGTATTGAGTCCTCTTTTGAATTAATGCCGTGAACGTTATGATTTATATTATTTTCGTTCTCATTACATTCGGATATATATATATATATATATATATATATATATATATATATATATATATATATATATATATATATATGTGTGTGTGTGTGTGAAAATATATAGAAAATAGGAAGGAACTGGTTAGGTAAATAATCCAAAAGTCCCTTAGTATTTTGAGTTATTATTTTTAAAAAATAGTGCTCGATACAAAAGTAGAGCATAGATATAATTATTTATTTAAAATATGATTCCAAATCGCGACATAAAAGAAGTCTCAAAAAACAAGAGCCGAAATAATTATATTGGAGTTTTCGGCTCTTGTTTTGAAACATGAGATTTCTTATGTCGCGATTTGAAATCATATTTTTTTAATTATATATATATATATATATATATATATATATATATATATATATATATATATATGGGGTAATGATATATCATTTCTTTATATATGAAGACCAATTGTTCGTCGGGTCTTCCACAAAAACATGGCGACTAAGTCATAACAGATTTAGCGATATGGACAGTGTCTATATACTCACAAAGGGAAATAAATTGATATGTATGTGTTGTGGATAGGCAATCAGATCATTTGTCCCTCGTCGGATAACTTTTAACAGTATCCATTCTTTTTGTCAGGGTTTCATTTTTTTGTCCACCTTCTGGAGGTGTGATTAAAATCTTTTCAGTCATCCCAAGGTAAGAGGCGGCAAGCAGAACTTCCTTTTGCGACTCCCGCATTAGGAGAGCGAAAGCTAAGACTTTCCATTGCGCAGGGCAACGAAAACCACCACCCGAGAGCAAAATGATATTGCTATCAACACGTGGAGGCTGCTTTTTTTTTATGGGGAGAACACTTGTAACCAATTAGGGAGTGGTGTCTATTTTGGTTGACTGACAATCATTTGAGAATAAGAATTGCAAGAGTTCGTTGGGTAGTGATAACCTAGTCAAGAGAATGGGTGAGTTAAGAGAAACACTGAGTGAGTGAGTGAGTGAGTGAGTGAAGGAGAGGAGGTTAGAGTAAGAGATAGTAAAAATGGAGAAAAAGAATAAGCGAGAGAAAGAGAGAGTGAATGAGATTGAGAAAGAGAGAAAACGCGAGAAAAAGAGCGACAAGCGTGAATAACAAAAATAGAAAGAGTATGAGAAAAGAATTGGTGAGATAGAGAAAGAGATAAAGAGTCATTGAGATACAGAGAGATAGTGTGTGAAATTTAAAATAGATAAAAGACTGAGTTAGAGCGAGGGAGATAAACAGAGAATTATATATATATATATATATATATATATATATATATATTATAATAATAATATTTTTGTTTAAAATATGATTCCTTCGCTACATAAGAGTTCTCATGTTTCAAAAACGAGAGCCGAAACCATCCAAATAATTATTAAAATTAAGTTGAATTGAGGTGTTTAGTCCCGTTTCATCTTCGAAAACACCTCAATTCAACTTAATTTAAGAAGAAGAAGAAAAAGAAGAAGAAGAAGAAGAAAAAGAAGAAGAAGAAGATTTAACAGTGTTGTCAGTTTTTTTTTTGCCTAAGAAAGGTAAGGTCGAAAAGTGATAGCTAGGATCGCTCATATCCTGAAGGGAGATAGCACGAAGAAGAAGAAGAAGAGGGGGGAGGGGGAAGGAGAAGAAGAAGAAGAAGATTTAACAGTGTTGTCAGTTTTTTTTTTTTTTGCCTAAAAAAGGTAAGGTCGAAAAGTGCTAGGATCGCTCATATCCTGAAGGAGATAGCACGAAGAAGAAGAAGAAGAAGAAGAAGAAGAAGAAGAAGAAGAAGAGGGGGGAAGGGGAAGAAGAAGAAGATTTAACAGTGTTGCCAGTTTGTTTTTTTTTTGCCGAAAAGTGATAGCACTTTATAAAAATTGGTATAGTGCACGTGTTGTTTCTACAATTATTATGGCAAAAACAAAGATAAAAAAAATCTACGATGGATAAAAGATATATTGTACGAATACATGTCAGCATCTCCGTACACACACACGCACACTTGCATTCACATATCATATAAACTATAAACTATAACAATGGCTACAAATACACGAATCATTAATCATAAAATACAAACCAACCAACATCAATAAACCGTTCTCAAATTTTTGAAAATACACACTAGATAGATTTCATGGATAAGGAAAAAGCGACACGATAACACAAACTGACATATGAAGACGCGATATTTGAAAATGGTGAAACCGACATCGCACAAAAAAACTCTTTCATAATAGCTTATGAAAGCCGAAAGTACTCACTCAGATATTAGGCAATTCATATTTACATATATACCAGAAACATGGAAAATGGTTCGAAATATACAATAAAATAAATAAATATTTTGTTATTTAACCATATATATATATATATATATATATATATATTGAAGACCAAAGAAAGTTATTGGTAAGAGAAACCTAAAAAAATAACAAAGAAATAAAAAAAAAATGAT